GGCCTCTACTGTTAATACTTTGACACAGGTCCTCGCTCCTCTGGGAGCCCGACCACGAGTACGTTTGCAGTAAACGTTGAAGTTTGTTTCGTCGATCCATATGAAGAACTTCCCCTCACTTTCAAGTTCGAACAATTTTTGAACAAACTTTCGTATTGCTTTCGTTCGATCATTGTCCATTCCTTCTGGAGTCTGATAGGTGTTCTTTATCCAGGTGTCCTGCGATTAAGACTGAGACTGTATTTAAGCGCAAGTAGAAAGGTTTCTGTAAAACTATCGAATTACGAAAAATCAAAATTTACTTGTGAATTACCAGCAGTTGTGTCTGGTCCGTTAATCGTTTATCCGTGTTCGGTTAGGAATTTGTACTAGCGTCATTATTTCCGGACATACAATGTCTTCTTTTGGCACTGTATGTGCATCGGTTCACAAAAGCACAGGTTTCCAAAATAATCGTCGATACGGGTTTTAAAACACTTCACAGAATCGGCCTCTCTTAATCCTTCTGGTAGTGTATTCCATAAGTTTACGATTCTTCGTTCGATACAAAGCTGATGTGATACTTTGTTCATGCTGGGGACCCTGAGTTTGTAACGATGTCCTCGGGTGTTACAGGGTTCTCGCAGGTGAAATATTGGCCGCAGTATGGAGAAGGGATTCAAGTGTAGTACTCGATGGGTCATAATAAGATCAATTCTTACTCGGCGATAGGATAGTGTGTAGAGTCCGAGCCTTGCACAAAGTTTTTCATACGGAAGCTTTCGTAGACTGTGTATCATTCTAGTTGCGATATGCTGTATTTTCTCCAGTTTTTCAGTTTCCCATTGGGTTATCGGATGGTAAGCTGGAGCACCGTATTCAAGGATTGGTCTAATGAGCGAGGTGAATAGACGAGGGACGGTTTCTTCGGACCATGTGGAGAAACTGCGTCTTAATGCCCAGAGCATACGAAGTCCCGCACGGTACAATTTCTCTGTATTTTCTAGTGATCTTAAATCATGTCGTGCGAGAACTCCTAAGTCTCTGACAGATGTGTTGGGATGGAGCAACTAGCCGTCCAAGGTGTATGATCGAGTGACTGGACGTCTGGTGATACTGATGAACTCCGACTTGCTTGCGTTAAGAGGGAGTTGCATTTCAGTGGACCCCATTGACAGTCGCTCTAAGTCATGCTGGAGGCGAGCGCAGTCGTCCTGGTTCTCAATGATCTTCCAGATGTTCAACTCATCTGTAAACAGGGCACATGGTGACTGGAGCTGCTGCAGAAGATCGTTGATATGAATAAGAAATAATACTGGCCCAAGTACAGTTCCTTGAGGCACGCCACTGGTCGATGGGAACCATTCTGTCAGATAGTCATTGACCTGTACTCTAAACCTTCGTCCCACAATAAACTCTTGTATCCACTGAAGTAACGTGCCACCGATTCCGTATGTCCTCAGTTTACGAAGGAGTACCTCGTGGTTCGCTCTGTCAAACGCCTTACTAAAGTCGATGTACACCACGTCAACATCCTTCTGTTCATTGAGAGCTCGAACCCACTGGTGGTTTGCGTACATCAAGTTGGTGATGCAGGATCGCCCTTTCGTAAAGCCGTGTTGCGCTGGCGTCAATACGTCCATCGATTCGAAGAACGACAGCAGACACTTTTTCACAACCTTCTCGAGAACTTTGAATAATACCGAAGTCAAACAGATCGGTCTATAGTTCTCTATTTTACTCGGATCACCACCCTTGGGAAGCGGTTTAACTATCGAACATTTCCAGTCGTTCGGGACGGATCCTTCAGAGAGCGATCTATTGAAAAGGTTTGTCACAGCTGGTGAGATGATAATCGATAGGGACTTGAGTATCAGTGGGTGAAGTCCGTCTGGTCCGGGGGCTTTGCACCATTGAGGTTGACGAGTAGCTGATGTACTTCGACTGCATCACATTGTAGGCTGTCGAGCAAGACTTGCGCAACCTGTGCCGGTACTGGAACAGCCGCCGGTTTACTGGAAAATACAGTGAGGAAGTGCGTAGCCAGGGCGTCCGCGCGCTCCGCGCTTGAAATGAGTGCCTTCCCGTCTAAGCTCTCTAAGACCGGTAGGTCGTCCCCAGGTCTCAGTTGACGTTTCAAGTAGGCAAATATTCCCTTGGGTGCAGTCGTGGCCGAGGATGCTAGCTCCTCTTCGAACTTTGAAATGTTCTTATCAATATCGGTACGTACTGGGACTCGCATTTCGTGTGGTGTTAGAGTTGCGTCCTTCGCGATCCACTCCAGGATGTCATCAATCTCTTCCTCCGACATAATGCGCCTATGACCGCGCGCCTGCGTAGCATGCGGTTTCTGATCAAGAGAACGACGAATTCAGGAGCAGGCAGTTTGATATTTCACATTGTTCACGGTTGCCACGGGCTGCCAGTCGTCACTGTTGATGAATGCATCCACAACTCGGCCACGAATGCCTGACGAGATACTCTGTCGAACACGTCAAGGCATGTTGACCATGCCGGAACGAAAGACATCGATTCAGCCATGCGCTAATGTTCCGGCCGTTCATTGTTCTCAGACCAATTGTGATCCAGCATTTCGGAGGTGAGAGGGGGCCGCATGGTATCACATGGCACCGCCCATGTCCATGGACTCGAGGTTTATTCACAAGTCTCAACTAGTTAACGGGCAGTGCGCCCACTTCACTTGACTTACGCACCCGGCCAACGAGAACACATATGAGGTCAGAGAAATGGCTCAGGGCAGCTGGCGAATCGCACAGGGTTTTGCAAAATTTTGCACTTTTTCTGCAAAAGTTTGGACTTTCTATGCAATTTTGCGGGAAATGTTGTAGGGTCGGTTGCGAGTCATGTCCTGTAAAATACCGAGCCAAGCACAGTGTGGGTCACGTGGGCTCCATCCCGGAAGGTGAGACGGAACAACGGCACCCAGTTTGGTCGTTAGTGACTTCATTTCACGCTGCCAAGTCCACCTCGAGCCTTGCGCCACCCTACACCTGGCAGACTAAGCAAGGTCCTAGATCAGCGGTAACCAGGCATACGCAATACGTGCCCAAAGCAAAGCAACTTATTCAGTGCTATCTGTGATTAATAAAAGCAGGAGAAATTGACAACGCTCATGGATCACCACTTAGACTAATTGAAGTGGCCTAATCATATCATCGGCAGGACGAAGCAGATCTGAAGGCATGTTTTAGTAGGCCTACCATGAGTGTGACTATGCAGAACTGTTCAGAATAAACACAAGTATTCGAGACAAACAGGTGTCAGAAATAGGTAAGTTCACAGACTGGTACATTGTGAAGAGTGCTCGAGAGGTTCAGTTGCTTTTCAATTGCCTAAACTCTATGTAACATCTCATCCCGAGTACCCCGTTCAGAGCTATTAGCCCGAGGGGGCGTAACGTTGCAGCTGAAACGCCACTGTTGACGTAGCCTAGGGTGCGTTGGGTGTATATTTAGCCTGTGATGTCATTCACAGAAGTTTACGCTGGACAGTACCAGCGCTCACGGAGTGAACTTACACCGGTATAGCACCTCAAAAAGAGCTCCAGTCACTTTTTCGCCCCTATTAAAATCTCACCATGGCACGAACCCGAAAGGTCGTCGATTCACTGAAGACAACTACGATCTGGGCACCGGAGTGCAGTGGAGCCCGTTGCTAAGACTCATCTCGCCAGATTGATAACAAAGATAACACGAGGTTGAAACCAAATAGAATACAAAAAATGGAAGAAAGAAATGCGTAAATCCAACCAGGATGGGAAATTAACAGCCGGATGTAAGAAACCGACTGCATTAACGCCACTGACTGATCGATTGTGCCATATCCTACAGCCTCAAATCGTTAATGTGGACGATCCCGAGGCCCCCATCCATGAAGACAGCACGCACCAGCCTATGGTTTTTCAGTCAATTTCCTCATGCCTGTGCCACGTCATGAAATGGACATCTCGCGATTTCGCTTAACTTGGTGCATCGACGGTGCATAATTCACCCCGAAAGCGGTCAACGGGCTTACTGAGGGCGGGACCTAGACAGCGTAGGCGATGCATGTTCAACACACTCCAATGAGGCACCAGATGGTCTCTTGTCAGAAACATAATGGCGGACCTCAGCATTGCTCACCAGATGTCAGCAACACTCCGCGAGCTTTGGTGACCAAAGACGACCAAGAGTTTAATGTCTTCGCTGCGAATTGGCCAAGTCCTTGATCCATACAATAACATCGGCCTTATGCGATGTGGAATCGTAAAATTCAATAGATGTGTAAAATATTTGAAGGATGTTTGTGAGTAACGTAAGTTTCGTAGAAGGTAGAAGTCACGATTAAACTCCACACGAAAAGCTGCCTCGACGGGGAATCGAACCCCGGTCCACGAATTTCCGGTCCGCTGCTCTACCACTGAGCTACCGAGGGCTGACGATTAGGTGCGGAATTTAACACGTGACTTCTGCTTGGTGCGCGACGTATTGCCAATGAGCTCACAGTAACTGTCCTGGTGTTGCAGATCGGCTCACTCACTCGTCACTTCCCAGTGGACCGAAGTAACTGTCCATCCGAAGTCCAAATAATCTACCATCGCCCTTTGGACTTCGGATGGACAGTTACTTCGGTCCAATGGGAAGTGACGAGTGAGTGAGCCGATCTGCAACACCAGGACAGTTACTGTGAGCTCATTGGAAATACGTCGCGCACCAAGCAGAAGTCACGTGTTAAATTCCGCACCTAATCGTCAGCCCTCGGTAGCTCAGTGGTAGAGCAGCGGACCGGAAATTCGTGGACCGGGGTTCGATTCCCCGTCGAGGCAGATTTTCGTGTGGAGTTTAATCGTGACTTCTACCTCCTAAGATGTGTAAAACTAAAGCGGGCTCGTCCCGAGTGACTTGAAGACAAATACAAGTGAGTCCATATTATACGTTGTCTCCCTGACAGAAGCTTTTCTATAGTGGTAGATTTATCTTAACGCGATTATACAAGTAACCGGAACGAGAAAACTGGTTTCTGTATGCTGCACAAGAATCAATTTAGGTGGCATGAATCGAAATGACAATCTACCGAAACAAACTAGTGAATCCGGGTGTCTTCGGGCTGGGCAAACTAGACATACAGGATAAATATGCGTCAGTGGAACATAGCGGTAACACATCCTTATGCATTCGTGATTCGAAGCGAGCGTACCAGCCGCACAAAAGTACTGATCTATGAAAAACACGGAAAGATGTTCAACATCATGTAGTTTAGCAGTTCAGCGCGACAGAAACTGTTTAACAGGGATCGGACACTTCACTAAGAGGAGTAAAGATGCGAGACCGCCGCTTCCGAGACGGTTTTTCGATAGGAAGTGATGATGTATCAGGCGACGGAGACTCCTGAATCAAATCTTTCTCATGCAGAGCAGGATTGATGGAAGAGCGATGGCAGCAGATGGGGCCAGTTGGGGGAGAATGGCTTTTTGAACATACAGAGTCGTTCAAGGAAGGCCAGTATTCTGTTGATGGACTGAATACTGAGTGAGTCGGCCGGCTCGTCAGGCCACGCTCAAATGTTGCAACACGATTCCGGTCGACCACAGATAGAGCCCCTTTTTTGGTAATCTGGAACAGGTAGACGGGGTGGGATGAGCGGAGTTCACACATTGTTCATCGGGCAGAACGAAAAAGTTAAAAATTGCATCTTCGGTTATCAGGTATCGAAAACCCTGAAATCCGTAGACGGTAACGAAGTACTCAGATTGCAAAGTTCAGTGCAGTCCAGTTAGGCAATTACAAGCCGACCACATAATTAAGATGGATCTAACTGAAATGGATTGCGTCGACAGGACTAAAATAAGTAGACGGAAGAAGCAGAATACAAAGAAGGGGGATGATGAAAACAAGAGGGTAAAGTTATTCAGGTAAGAAAGGCAACAATTGGGACAAAATCGTCGCTACTTCTTGGCCGCGCCATTTCGGGCAGATTTTTCTAAGACTGATGTGGCCGATCCTGGGCCCCCAACAAGGGATTAAGTAAGCAGCAGCAGCTGGGTCGGGCCTTTCAGACATTTCTGTCATATCACCGACCGGCCACCCAACCATGGTAAGCAAAATAAAGCAAGTGGAATGGTCAATGAGCATAAATAGGACATAATCCGGCCAACACATTCCAATATGGCACCAACGGGCATCTATTCAAAAAGCAACGAGCATTCTTCGATATTGTCCAATCGGTGCACCCTAAAGACCTGAGAAACATGTCGAAGTCACCAATGATTCGAGAAAACAAGTATCACGGCGTAGCACAAGTTTAGTGAAAATGCTCTCGATCCATATACATCCCCTTACGTTACGTTATATGGCTGTTCGAAATAAGAAACACTACAGCAGTAAAAATATCGGGCAAGTATGTTATGCGTCGTCCGTCGAGATTGACAAAGCAGGACGACAGGGAGAAAGAAACCCCCGCAGCACATACGCCCCCGAAGTTACCTCCTCATCATCTCCAAAGAAACGTGCTCACCACCGTTGCGACTCCAAACCAAAAATAGGGAAGCGTCAACTGAGGCCAACTTCAATGCTAGGACCTTCAATTCTCTTGACCAGGTCATCGACTGGACCCGCCACACCTACCATCCACACCCGAGGAGCGCAAACAATGCAAGCCGATGGAGTCGATGTGATGGTGATGTAGATGACCCAGCCATCGAAGCTCAGTGCGTGAAGTAACGGTGCTGAGCCATAAACAGAGCGCCGAACACGCTCATTAATCACGCGTTGTTCCCACCAGATGTAAGCTGAACTGCAAGAAGAAAAAAGGCACCAGCAGGACGCCAGTACACAGTACCGACGCTTCACTGACGTGCAGCCATCACCAGTCGCAGGTGGACTAAGGATACTGCGAGGGCCGCCCGGTCCCCACGTAGGCTGGAACCCACGCCCTCGGATTACAAGGCAGTCTTGTAATCCTTAAGGCTACGGGCCGGCTGAACTGCGAAAGCACTGGTGGTAGAATGCAACTAACCATTTTACACCTATCGATCAGACGAGCCAGATTTCATAAGTGCACAGTATGGTTAAACGGATGGCTGTATTGCAGGCTCCACCCTTCAAGGCATGAGTGATGTCGCGCCAGCGCCTTAGGTGATGAAGTTGAGAAAAGTGCTCCAAGTTTTTAGACCTCATTTTTCACTCCAAAGATGTTGACATGGCTGTTCAGGCAGTTCAATTACTGGACGAATTCTATCTGATACCAACAAAGGGTCGGTGCATGAGTTGGTTCATGTCAACCCTGAAGAAAACCTTTGTAATTCGATGGTGCGAAACGGTCCGAAACGTTTGACAACCTGTACATATCTTTCCAGCCACACTCTTGGCACACGTGGAAAGTGTCATAGATTGGGGTGATATCCTCAGCGTATTCTATGACGAGAAGTCGACCATAGGAGAACAATCCACATGGTCTGAGCGAAGCCTTCTAAGCACAGATCTCATAACTTCGTGAATAACGAAGCTGTAAAGGTAATATGTCAGCGGGCATTCTTGTCCCATCACTGGTTGCAATCTGCAACAAGACCCATTATGCCCAAATGAGGCGCGTAAAGCGCCCATAAGTAAAATATTTGCGAATTTCTTGGGCGTCTTTCTAAACAAGGCAACAACAACAAAGGTACCTTTGATACTGAGAAGCACGGTTACAGTGGGTTATCAATGCACGTGGTGGCGCTCCAATAACTGAGGTAAGGTGATGTAATCAACACAGCCTCGATTTCAACGAAACCCGGTCTGCGCTTCGATATTCGGTCCCTCACAGGCGTCAGCCAACCTAAGAAAAACGAGAGGCAACGAATAAGCGGTGATAGAGGTCAGGTGATCCCTCTATGATCGCCGCTTTCTGCGTGTGAGTCCCTTTGAGAACCGGGACGATAACGGAGCGGCTCCAGTAGATTTGAACAGTCTCATTAGTAAAAGTGCAAGTCGGATGCAGAAGCAGTCACTGAATAGAAAAAGAGCCACCTGGTCCAATCCAACAGTCCGATTTCACGTTCTACTGCTGTGCATGAGTGTACATTCAGAGGAACGGTCACTATTAAGTAAAATGATCGATTAAATTGCTTTTCAATACATTTAAGCCAACGCTTCAAAAGTTTTAACAGGCAATAAATAGGCTATCTCCTCCCATCACATATAGTCCCGCCAACTGTCTCCATCTCCGATGTACAATGAGATCACTTGACTTGTGGGTCTCTCTTTGTGCCGGCACGCAACTGCGCCCTGAGAGCTCTACGAATCCTGTCGTAATCACACACAGCCGGAGTAGGTTGACATCTAGATACTCAATAGATTGCGTTAAGCCTAATACCTGGGTTTGCAATCGGATTTGTCACACGAACATATCTAGTGCTACTAGCGTCCGGCGAACATGTGACCGGTGACTCCCAACTATGGTTAATGAACGCTTATTCAGCAAGGTTGTCAGCGTAATTTGATACGCATTCAGGACATCTGGTTTCACCGGTTGGCGTCTATGCACTCACAGCATTGTTGCTGCTTTCAACGAAAAACACTTGGAGATCAGCACATACAAGCGCATGGTCGGAGTCAACGCTTATGCTCTAAATCAAGCGGCAGTTCTGGTGATGTCAGCAACTTGCGTTCATGACTGGTCCGAGGCTAGTACGCAGCATGTGACTGCAAGGAGCGCAATGTCGGAAGTTGGTGATTGTGAGAAATATATGAGCATCTCTGCACAAGTGAAGCAACAACTGTGAGTGAAACCGAGCTTACTACACTCTTGAACAGCCTGCCCTGACTGAAGCGACCGAGAATAGTAAAAGCCATTCGCGCAGTAATCTTTGACTGAGGTGATTCGACTACCAAGGTACATGAACCTCCGATTGCTCCACGTGGCCGTTCTTATCGGCCAAGTCGAGCGATACCTCGCATTTTGTAGGTGCGAAGCCTGTGCGCATGCAACCCGTATGGGTTGTATATCTTTAAAAGAAAAAACGAGTGTGGATAAATGAGAATGTCTGCGCACGGGAGCTTACTTCAGCGAAAGAAGGTCCTTGTATCTTGATGGGGGCAGATGCAGAACACAGAGGTGCCATACTTGGCGGCTGCGGGAATGCATCTGAAGAGAAATAAATGACGAATCGTTCTCGTACCTGGATCAGGTGATAGAGGCGCAGGTCCGGACAGAACGAATCCTTGAGCTTCGCAAAGAAGAGAAGAACGAATTAATTCGTTTTATTCGTTTAGGCATGTGAGATCACGAAAAAATTCTACCCCGACTTGTTAACATACGTAGGAACTGTATTCGATTCTCCGCATCTTCCTTCAGTCTGGTCAGGCGCAGATCTTCGAGACGACGTCGATCATTTTCAAGCTTTCTGGCTTCTAGACGGGCGGAGAATTTAGTCAGGACGTTTCCGGAGACCAAATGCTGGAGTTCGATTTCGATTTGGATGAAGACCCGACCTAATGGCAGGTGACTTAAATGGCGCCATCGTCTTCTCAGGCTCTGTGAATAAACGAATGACCGGACAAGCTGGTTTAGAATCAAACACGCTATGAAATAGTTTTGTCAGTTGCACTTCCTAAAAGTACATTCACAACCGATAATGTCGGCAAACAAATGAGACTACGTCACAAGCCGTACAAATGATGACGCCCGTCCCAATGGAAGTTGCCTAGTGAGGTTATGACAAGCTGTTCGGACTGAGGAAGACGAGAATGTGGTTAACGGAAGTAGGTTGCAGATAAGACGACCTAATACTGATCTATGGATATCAAAAAATTACCTCGACATAGCTCATTGTAGTCAGAAAGTAATTAACTAGGAAAACATTAGTACCGAGTCCCGATCTCTAGAGGTATAGTAGTGTGGTGGCACATGCCTGTGCGACAGAAGCTTTGATCGATTCGGCTAAGCAGACAGTGCATATCCGAGTACTTTCTGGAATAAAGTCGATGGGAGCAGTTTCAGCCCAGTGACTCAATACTCACACTGGTAAAAGCATTATCAATACAAGTTAGCTAAAGGTAAGAAACACGCCTCAGCTAGTGTGCCGCAATACAACAGAACAAGGTACTAAAAATTACACTACAAAGATTCCAAAAAAGCAACATAAGGTTAACGACCACAACATACAGTTCGCATGAGATTGTAAATAGAGGGGGAATCTAAAGGGGAGGGGGTGGACAAAGAAACCCACAACACAAACGTAATTGACGCCGGCGCTATGCTATATCAGCCGGTGTGTCCAACCAACGTGGGACCCCAGCCAAGCAGTCAGGATGCACCAACCGACGCCAAATTCTAAGTTAGGGTTTTTATTTCTCTTTTCCAAGTCATCGCTTGGCCTCTCCTCCTTCTCTTTCAACCGCACCCACGGTGCGCAAACAACGCTCGTCACCGGAGTCCGTGTGCTGGCATGCGCAACAAGTGGTCCAGCCACCGGAACCTGGTGCGTGATATGCTGGTGCTGAGCGGTTTACTCGCTCTTCCTGCACCAAATACACGACGTCGAACACGCTCACGCGATGCTCTGGCAAAAACGTCAATGCGCTTTGCTGCCACGCGAACATCGCCAGTTGCAAGCGTGTTAGGAAAACTGCGAGGCCACCAGCACCAAGGCAGGCTCGATTCGGTAACCATTGTATCATGAGACAAATGCCTCGTCCGTTAAGCCACCGGATGATTGGCATCTGAAGCTGGGATGACCTCAATTACAGGAAATAAGAAGATACTCTAGGTATCACATGAGGGGGACTCTAGATTGAGCATAAAACTTGTTTCGTAGCCGGGCTTCCGATAAGCAGCAGTTATCGATTGATTCGGTGTTCAATGAACAACCGAGTGTCGTCTGTCGACCGACACATGAAGGCGTGCTAAGCTTAATGAGGATTAGGGAATCTAATTGGCCTTCGATTGGTATGACATGGACCTGGCGACGCTCGGCCACTGCATGAAGGCCGAAAATGGAAGACAAACGCTTACCGAAGCAGGCAGGGAGAACACAGGGAATAAGGGATTAAAAAGAGGAGGAGGACAGAGATGAAAAGCAATGGAGTAAGAAAACAATAATTCTTAACTGGAAACAGCTATCCACCTCGCTCTATGCAGTAGACAGGACACTCCAGATTGTAAACACAGGAGAATGATCGGAGTCCTGAGTCCTCAGGCTCAAAAACTTGACTACAGCACAGCGGGAGCTTAGTAGTGAGATACAAGGAGTGTTTTACGGAATAATGAGCTACCGTTAATATAAGCCCCCAGCGTGGAAAACCAGGTTGTTCATCTGGCCTTTAGCAATTGACTATTTTGGCGTGAGTTGCGCCGAAGGTATGAAAAGCAACAATCAGAACAGTAGGATGGATCATCGAGGTAAGCAAACTTTTAACTCCACGAATTTTGCGGCTGCTAGTTTCGTATTGTTCGAGATGCCATACAGTTAGCCTTTGATTCAGCAAATATTACCACACGTAAGTGAGGACCTGATTGATGGACTGTACTCAGAGCCCTACGCTCAACAGTGGAACTCAAGAAGTAGGGGTACAGGTCCTGCTCATAGTGATCTGCTTGAGGTCGGTTACCCAACCTGCGCCTACAACCACGATCGAGGTGAGTGGTAAGAAATCAACAAGCACGGCTGGCGCTCAGTGGTACTCGCAATCTCAATCGACTGTTGGACGATTGACACAATGCGTCCATCTTGTAAGCCAAAGATCATCGGTTGGAAACTGCGACATTACAATATAGCACACGCGTCTCTATTGGTGGTCACGTGACAGTGTAATGTCGGCACAGCGTGCCCGTCTATTGCTGATGCCCTTTCTTCCAGGTGACAGGCCGTTATCACTCAATAGTTAGGTTTTTAGGGAAAGGGAAGATTGCCAACTCCCAATCGCCGATGAGGAAGACAGTGAGTTTGTTTGACCCCCAAACAACGACTTGTGTTGTATGAGTAGCACGCATAAGGTGCCATACAGCTTGGTCCAAGTAATCACCAAGGTACACGTCAAGGTTCAGTTCCACGAGATGGGATTTTTGGTGGCGGAAAACAGACGGGCTTCCGACCACAGTGCGAATGAATGGAATGTACCACCATGTGAAACCGGTGCGGTTTGTTTGCTTAATCAGTGATCTGAGCATCGGAATTGGGTAGAGCAAGTTGTCACAACTCGCATCGCCAGAGCAGTATAAAACAAATAAATAATGGAAACCAAGATGGCAACAAACATTACAGGAGGCTAGGATAGTGACAAACCATCATAGACCACAACACAGCAGTCATCATTAGATAACTATACACGTCAGCTAGAGGTGGGAAACACCTCAGCTACTGTGCCGCCACAACACAGCAGTGAAGCTAGCTGCATGAAAGATGAGGTTAGTCTTTTCGTTCCCTTGCCACGTACTAGCTAATCTTGGAGGCTAGGTAGATTGCCTGTATTTCAAAATGTTATACTAAAATTATAATTTCACTTGCTCTGTGAAATCCAAGATGCAGATTTTAAGTAGTTGGTGCCTTCTGCGGGCGCAGGGACCGAAAGCAAATAGCTCACTGACATCTGTGAATTGAGCGACGAACTGCGAAGGGCCAAGCTGTGATTTCGAGTGGGTGGTAATGCTGCAGCAAAAACCGGTACCTCGTACCGAAGATGTGCTGTTACGCGACTCGTGGTCGCGCGCGCACGAGACACTGCGAGATCCACCGCGCTTGCGTTGGATCGAACCGACACATTGTGGACTGCAGACCAGATGCACCAATCATTCAGCCACCAGCCGACCCGTGGCGCGCAGCCACAAACAGAACACACAATGATTAAAGACAGCTCCACACGCTTGTTATACCATCCAATTACCCCGCGGCTTACCTCTGTGTACAGCAGACCAGCTATTACGATTGGCATAAAGTCGAGCACGAGTACTACATAGGCTGAGGATCAAGATGATGAAAGGGTACAGGAGACCAAAAGATGAGGAAGAACATACGCATCGATACCCGGTTGTGGAAGACAACGCAGCAACGAGCAGCAAAACAATGACTAGGGTAAACAAAGATTCAGACGAACTCCATCCGACAGCCAATGCGTAACCCCAAAACAAAATACCCAAGACAAGAGAAATGCTGCCAATCCTGTCGAATCCGATACCATTTGAGAATCTGAGAACTGTGAATCAAAGCAAAGGTTAGCTAATCTGGAAGTTGGAGCAGCTGAGATCACGTGGCCAGTTCGACTCAGCTCAGCTGATCAAGCATGATCCGAGCCCCGAAGTGCGGTAGACCCAGTTGCCACGACTCACACTATAAAAATAACAATAAGTAACAGGTAAAATAGTGGTGCTGGGTGCGTATCATCATCATTACACATAAGCTGAAGGTGAGAAAGACAGTACACGAAGATAGGACAAACGAAAAGAGCAAGATGCTGAAATGTCGACCGGTGGCCCAGTGGTCCGCGAAAGTGGTTTACAACTATAAGGTCACCGGTTCAAATCCGCGTAGGGGTGGGCGCCCTCGCGGAACTGGTGGTGGTCGCGCGAAAGCGAAGCGCCGTTACGGCGTACAGTAGACACATTATTATTATTTATCAATATGCTGAAAAGTAAAGAATGCTGAAATACTCAAATCATCAATCAACAACAGCAGTACATCAGTCTTTTGAAATGATGCTTCGCTGTCATTCAACCGTGATGACGGGTGAAATAAAGAATAATAAGGGAGAGAAGGGGGACTTATCTGAAAACCCTAACACCTTAAGCAAACATTCAGGGCCAAAGCGCCTGCAACTAGTGTAGACAACATACGTCACAAACGGCTGGCTACCGCGCAAAGATAACGCGGCATCGGCGGGACAACTTCCTTGCGGTATTCACTGCCACGCGTCATAATCAGCCATTACCCAACAAATAAATCAGCACCAATCACACTTTAAGCAGGCAATCAGACTAGGAGACGGCAGAGACACGCCACTGGTGTCGGCTGCGAGTCATGTCCTGTTAAGTCTCGAGCCAAACACAAGGCAGGTGAGGTGGACTCCAGCCAGGAAAGCGAGACGGATCTAATGCTAAAAAACAGGTGAGTGAATACTTAGTAACATATTATGCGTCAAGAGATCGAGGTTGGAAAGGGAAAATAAGCGTAATGAGGAGGGACAAAGAAACAACACAAACGCCATTAAGGTCGGCTTCTTGCTACCAAGCGTGTTCATCATACTTCGGACCCAAGCTCGACAGTCAGGATACACCAAGCGATGCCAACTTTGGAGTGAAGCATTTCATTACTCTTGACCAAGTAATCGCTTTGCCATCCCTCTTCTTCCATCCAGACTACGGACGGGCAAACGCACGTCGCGGGAGTCAGTGGGCTGGCATGCGCAACACGTGGTCTAGTCTGGTGCGTGATATAATGGTGCTGAGCGGTTCACTCGCTCTTCATGCACCAAATACACGACATCGAACACGCTCATTGCTCACGCGAAGCTCCCACCAGACATGAGCTAATCTGCGAAGAC